TATAAAATTTATAAATTTTTCGTAAAATTCCGTGCGTGTGAGTATTTTTTATGTGAGGAAAATTGCCTATACAATTAATTATAAATGTATAGAATACAGAAACAAATTTTTGTTTAAGTAACAAAAAATTGTCATCTATTTTTGCTGCTCATTAATAATATGTAAATGAACTGTTATTGCACTGCTTGAAGTATTTCAAATAAATATAATTGTTTGCCAGTAGGAAACTGTATAAGCTGTTCATAAATTAAAAGTAGTGAATATTAAACATAATACTGTATTCATATTGCAGAAAATTATCAATAGTGACGATAAATTCAGCGTGGAAATTGATGTATCAGTTTTTCTTTTGGAAGAGCTATCCATTACTTATGACTATAATCAACGAGAGATTCACATTGAAGGATGTCAAAAAAAGCGTGACGACGGATTTGATTCTGTAGAACGTTCATTTAAATGCAAATATGATATAGCAGATGATGTAGAGGAAGAATCTTTGGCAGCTTACTTGACACCAGAAGGTTTTCTTACAGTACAAGCTCGAAAAAAAAGTACTAAAAAAGATAGTCGGCGAATTCCGATTCAAGCTGTTTCCTACGTACCGGATTTATCTCATCAAACTGCTACAAACATTACAACGAATCAATGTGCCAAATTTTCTGGTACTGGTAAGACAAAAATCAGTCCTCCGGTACCACCTAAGCCTAAATTTCTTTCAAAGCAATTAGTTTCTGAATACCGAGAAAATCCTGAAGTTAATAAAGAATTTGAAAATGTAAAAAAACCTGCAAAGAAAGAAACAGAAGTACTAGATATTAAACACTTGCAGCAACCTAAAAACGAACCTAAACCCAATAAGGAGTACTTAAATATTTTTTGCTAAACCAAGTATAGAATGATATACTTACTTCTGTGTTAAAATTGTACGTAAAATGACATAATACTTATACTTCTTCTTGGGGTCAGCAGTTATTCCCTCGCAGTAAATTATTTGAATAAAAAACCGAAAATGCAGCTGAAAAATATTCCTACTTCATGTTATTATCAGCGTGTTATTTCATATTCGAATTTGTGTTAATAGTATTTTTCATTTAGCGAATGATATGTGAATCTGTATGAAATAACAAATATTATCGAGTTGTATACTCAAATAAATTATTACAAAAACCGGAAAAGATTTCCAAACGTTACAATAGATCAAAAATGAAGTAGAGAGCTTGAACGGATAAACAAGTCAGTGCATGCGTGAATTGTACTCACTTGCATCAAATTATATTGAATCAGTCAGTTTAGACAAGCTAATGAATATTTAAGACAGTATAAATTTCTTGCTCATCTAAAAACTGTTTTCAGTCAAAACGTTCAATTACTTCTTTGTTTTTTAGCTCAAAAAGTAGCACAATCTTGCCTAGTATAAACTTTAAGATCACGTTGTGAAACTCTGACCTATGACACAACTTTGGTTGAACTACCTTCCTTTCATCTGCACTCTACGTTGTTTGTCCATTGCGTGACCTTAAAAAAATTGTAACTCTACAATTTACATAGAATTAAAATTACTAAAGCATTGTGAAAACAGAAAAAAGATTGAATCAAAAGGCATAATATAAGGTGATATCCCACTGCTAATTTGATAATGCTTTGAAGTTGTATTTCGTTAAATAAATGCTCGCTTTATCAATACAAACGAAAATAACGCAGCTAGCTAACGTCACAATATATTTATCAGTGCAACACGTGAACTGACGTGGCCCTTAATTTTATCAGATAAAACCAATTAGTGTTTCTAAAGAAATGATAGAATAAAAGTATCCAGTGATTAGTTAATTTTAAAGCTAACAAAAATTAGTCTTTGCGACAAATTATTCACAAGTAATCTGAGTCTCTTTTATCATATCATATCATATCTTGCAATTATAATAATAAGTAAACAACTTATGATATTAAATTACCATAAATGGTGTTGTGAAAGCTCTACAAAAGGACGTAATATATTTGAATATAATCTCTACCAATAACATAAATATTAGTAAAGGAATAGATGTTAAAAATAGGTATATGGATAATTAATAATGAGTACAGTATGAAGCCCGGTTAGCTCAGTCGGTAGAGCACCAGACTCTTAATCTGGCT